GTTCCAAGCTGCATCCCTAAGATAGTGTTTGCATTTCAAGAGAAACTTGCAGTTCACAGGATATTGGCTCTGATGAAAATTATCCGCATGGTTCAGTCATGTAGTATAGGCTTTCTTGTCCCTGGGTTTTGGTGATACGAAAGACAGATTAAGGTAGTTATATTGTTAAGGAAGAAGCTTCTCAACATGCAGACGCTACCCCAGTGTGTACAGAGAAATCCACACATACCATTGGTGTAAACTGTTTTCTCTAACCAGACCTGGAAGTCTGTTGTTTACTGCATCTGAAAGGCGTTGCATCACTTTTCCTATAAGCAGGAGTTTCACAAGTCCAAAGGCTTCTATTGAGGTTTCAGGAGTACCGCCGAGCACAGGTAAACTGGATTTATTAATGGCCTCCTCGAAAAAAAAAATCGACGAAGAATTGCAATGGCAGTAGGCTCTATGATTAAAACTAGCTTGTTACAGAAGTCAGTGCTCTTCAACCTGGATGGAACGACCACCTTCAAGTGGACGCGGTTTAATGAGAGGTGGACGAGATATGGCCACTTGGCAGGATGAAATTATAGCTTTGAAGTCTTATCTCCAGATTAATTAAAATTATACATAAATTTATATAATACCAGTGGAACCCTCAGAGGACGGCGCCACTGTTGTTGTTTTTTCATACTTAATACTTAGACGTGCTTCAGAGATCCCAAAACAGGCTTCTCTTAGTCGCTAGTCAATAAAAATACCCGAGATCCCAGCGCAGGGCGGGCGGCCTTCATCAACCCACCACTCGGGGTGGGCGCCACCAGATGGTTGAAGAGCACCGTCATGACCTGTATCTGGTTATTGGCTGTCGTGCGAATTGTTCTTCCCTTCTGGCAAATCCAAGGGGAAGTTCAATGACTATCTTTGGCATGGTTTTGAAAAATATATCCATAACCATGGCAGATCTCAGGGAAACATTTGCCGCAGTGTGGGTAGAAAAACTCGCTTCCTTCATGGCAAATCCTTTACTAGTGTATGGGATGTGTTTAGGTACAGCTATCTTGTCTTATCCTTACAGAGTTTAAGGTGGATCTGCCGTGGCAACCCACAAGTCTCCATTTATCTTTCCTTATGTATATATATGGTACATGTAAATAAGCACGTGTGCATTGTTTATATGCATGCGTGTGCGTATGTGTGTGTGTGTGGTGGGTGATATGTACATACAGACTTGCATAATAAACAGTTGTGCAACAGCCCCAGGTATGAAAATTCGCTTCCAGTGTTTAATGCCATCTTGTTCCTTGCGCCGCAGGTCACTCCGCCTGAGGAGTGCGGGTCCGAAGCCTCCGTTCCTTCTATCCAGCTCCAGGGCACCATTGTCTGACCACCGCCATCGCCTCGACCGGCGCGTGTATGGTTCCACATGGGCGGAGTGCGCGGCTACTCGCCCAGCCGCACGCAGAGACTCTGACAGCCGGCGGCCTCCCGCCCTGCGCGGCGCTCGTCTCTCGGCCCGCTATCCTGGCCGCATGCGCAGTGACGGAGGGAGGCCGAGGAAATAGAAAGGGTCGCGATGGCCCCCACTTGTTTTCTATTTAGAAAATCTAAAATGCCTCCGGTGATGTTCTAAGTGCTTTGTTCCGATTGCATTTCTCTTTGACAATAGCCAAGGTTTTGGGGCATTGGGTACAAACGTAGGGCGAGGTCAGTTTTTTAGTGAATTACGCATATTACAAATCGCTTTGCTTGTGTGAGTGAATGGAAGTGACGTGAAGAAAAGTGCGGATTCAGATATTATTTTTGTTTAGGTTTAAGTCCTTGAAACACAAATGACTTTAGAATTTGAGTGTAAGGATATATATGATTGCCAACACGACAGACTTTACCTTCTGTGAAGGGGTTATTGTGCCCTACATCGAGATAGGCCACAAAGCTCCTTATTTCATTGTGAGCCTATCGTGTATGGTGCTTTGAAACTCTGTGGCAAAATAATGTTTTTCTGGAAAAGGAAAATGAAAGACTGGAAGACATCTGCTTCTATATGATATGATCAAAATGATTAGTGAAATTCAATTTTCTGAGAATATAGCAAACAATATGCATAGCGAAAAAAGACCCAGTGTGTTATATTAGCTCAACTATGTTTTCCTTCCGGAATTAGAACATGACCTGAATATTTAACTGGTATGTTTATCAGGCTGTACCTTTCCTTTACCCCGCTTTATTTATCGTTGGATTCTTTGGGAACTTGTTTCAGGTCCACTTGAGCACACTTGTTGACATTTCAGACGAGCTATTTCAGTCACGGCCTGAGAGGGGCTTCGGTCCCCGCGTGGCATTTGAGTTCATAACAATCAGATTACTCTCATCCTCACTCTGAGTTTATGAATATAACTTACAAAATAAGTTAGCAGCTATTATTGATATAATGCCTTATTGTGTTACATGCAGCATTACTGAAACTATATCATGTAGTGATGGAAAAATAAATATTAAATCAGTCCTTTCAGGCGTTTTTCCAATTGGTTTTATCAGAATTCCCACACAGCCCTTCCTTTAGAACCAAAATTGAATGTTAAATACCATGTATCATCGTAATAGGCTTTGTACTTAACTAGTTTTCGACCATATGAATAATCAGTGATAGTTGTAAGCCAATCCTATCTCAGAATATTGTACCAAAGTCCATGTATATTTGTGCAGATAATGTGAGGTTGTGATATATTATCTTGCCCGACTCATAATGTGCATGTACCAGATTGATAAGCTGAGCATAATCCTGTATAATCTTTATTTTATTAATATATATAGAGTTTATGGTTAAAGCATAGCACATTTTAGCGTTAAGGTGAATGCTCGACATTCTGTACAGTCAGAGGCTGCCCTCTACCTTTTGACGAGAAAAATTACACTCCTAAGACGAATTAAGGGTTTGTTTTCATACCATGCTCATTGTACGTATTTTTCGGTTTGTTTTTCTTCCTCTTTTCGAGCCAAAACGAATATTGTTTTCGGTTCGTTGCAGAATATGAAACAATATTTGGCTAATGGTGTACTTGGTCAAAAACAAGAAAAAGGTTTCGTCTTTGGTGTTACGGAACTCAAAGTATATAGTTACATTGTGAAAATGTGGCAGTTGCTTTATACAGATGCCGGTATATGTGAAATAAAGTATATTAGATACTTTTTATTTTTTATATAAAAAATGTAAACTGATTTACATAATTGAAAGAAATGGCATACTTTCTTATTAGTTCAGTCCTTTGACTGTAATGTGATTGTGTCTATATGAATATAACAATTGAAAAAAATATTTTTGAATTACTGAAGCATTTTTTAAGCTTGGAATTACCTTGTTAACTGTTCCTCTAGGCTCTCATGTCTGATTGTATGTACAGAATCTTCATAAAATTAACTCTACATGATTTTTCCTCCTATTTTTTCTGTCTTTTTTATCGTGAGGTGGGACAGGACATCCCAGCAGTCTCACTCCTGAACAGAGTATCATTTTTACTGCATTACTGCTTTGTAAATAAGTATCTAAGAAGATGACAGCTGACCGCATCAATATTTTCATTTTCTCATGTGACAACTTACAGTATTGCTTGTTTCCTTGTTTATCTCTTTTCCATATTTCCTCTTCTTATATTCTGGCTTGTATACTGTAGGCAAAGTAGTGAAAAAGTCTACCACTCCATCTTGCTCATATTCATTACTGATCTGAAATCAATTATATCTGTAAGTATAGGAAAACTTGAGACATGAGTGTTTTATTAACATGAAGACCTAAGTATGAAAAATGTGTATTTGGAAATGCTACTGCTACTACCCATATCAATGGTGATGACAATGCCACTGATGAGACAGATGATAAAATGATGATAATGGAATCACAGTTATGAATAAAGTGATCACAGTGAACACTGACTTAGCCTATGCTCAGTGCCTGCCTTGGTGGCACTGGCGACCCTCTGACCTGCCAGTTTACATTAGCCGCCTGCAATAAGGGCGAAAAGGGGATGAAATAGGTCACTTTGCCTCTCTGTCTGTTCTCGTAGAAAGGACTACAAGCTCACTACATATTTTTCCACTGTGACAGCTACAGGCGTCCATTTCTTGCTTTAATTTTCTTTCACCAAAAATACGATACAACTTGAAAAAACCCTCATTGCTGATAAGGTTCAACATGCATATAAGGTTTTATAAATATTACATGCCTAGCATATGACAAAAGAAATAAAAATACTATTTTTTTATCTGGGTATACAAAAAATCAGACGTTTCCATGAACAATATCAGATGATTATGTCACTATCTAAATTCAGAGAGAAAATAACCAAAGCAACAAAATCCTTACAGATCAGTTAAATATTCCCAAGAAATGTAATACAATTGATACTTGAGAATAGTCAAATAGGGTAAATAAATCCCAATTCGTGGTTCCATAGAAATACAATACAATACAATTTCATAAACTGTACGTACTTTCAACTCACAAAACAAGTAATGCCATCTCTGCATGATTACTGGTGACATGCCGAGGTACTAAATCATGTACTCATCCCCATATATAAAAGAAGTGCAGGTCAGATATCCTAAGTAAAGTATACAATTACATGCCTTGCAAATACCAACAATGCAAAACAAGAAAATACCGTCATACGACACTTTCATCTCTGCTGGATAAAGTTATAATAAAACCCCCAAGCAAACAAAACTTACTTCTAAACAAAGAACAAAGACCATACTTTCCATGAATCGGATTCTTGGCAGATGTCAATTTCATTTAGTGTCACAACTTCCCATCAAAGGGACTGTGGAGAGCGCGTCCCAACACTCCCTAGCGCCGCCAAGAGACAAAGCGACAAAGGGATGCGCCAGTTACAGACTCCTTTACATTAAGCATCCTTTAGTATACTTGAAATACAAACTATACATTTTTTAAATAATAACTATTATCTTGCATTTAAACACATTATATATATACATATACATATGTACAATATATATTTATTTTACATTACACATTTATATATATTTATACACACACACACACACACACACACATGCACACACACACGCACACGAGCATATATATATATTATATATATATATATATATATATATATTATATATATATATATATATATATATATTATATATATACATATATACATATAAAATAGCATTGGTGTCAACTTGCTGAAATTTCTAAGAATAGAATTGTTTCTTGCCCACAAATGGGAACAAAGAAAATCAATTTACAACTTTCTCTTAAAAAAAGAATAATCTGAGAAGGACACTTTAGTATAGATAACCAAGTGGAACGCTGGGACAATTCTAATATTTCTGTCACCAGAGATGCGTAAAATTCTCCAATTGTTCCCCTTCATTCCATCTTTTCTGACTATACCAAAGTATGTTTACAGAAAACCCAACAAGATGCCCAATTAATACACACTAATCGAACACAGAAGTTTCACTCACTGAAAACAATGGGTTTCTTATAAACCTGTTATGTCTTTGGGGGTAGAGCATGCACTGCATCCTGTGTGACCGTCAACATGGTTAAATATATCATGGTTAAATATATAAAAACAAAACCTCCATGGTACGCTTAAGCACCTTTATTGGTAGAATACCTTGTCCAACCAACAAACTTCATCACTTCATTGTCTGGCATTCTCTGCAATTTATTGAGGCATGCCTTGTGAGAGCAGCCTTGTATCTATCTACATTAATTCCAGATTTCTCTAAGGTATCCAGGGTTCATCTAAACAATGTTGATCTATTGGCCGGGTTATACGTCTTAAAAGAAATAAACATTATATTACTTTTTCTTACTTTTTTTTTTTTTTTTTTATGCATAAATTTAACATACAACAAAAGATTTTGGTCTTTATATTTTTTTTAATTCTATTTGGATCAAATGATTCCTTAACCTTGCGGTCTTAAGCAGTTCTGTTTTTTTAAAGATCACCTCATCCTTATTCAGAATAACAATTTAAATCAAATTTAAGAATTGTCTGGCCTCTTTTACCAGACTGTAGGAGCATCAATACTAATAGTTTTTCCCCAATATTTCCATATTTTAATTATTTAACTTTTGTAGAAAAGATAAAACAAGTCAGGATTCCATGTATCCCTTCCTAAATTTATATACAAGTGGATGTTGACCTGCTGGAGATCCCCTATATATAAGCAAAAGATGAAAATTGCTGATCGGAAAACATAAACTGTGTTTTAAAGCATTCCGTATTGGATGCATCAATATTTTGTCTTTCGGATGATAAACTGCAATGTGTGGCTGTTTCCTTGGTTGACCTGTTAACATCATTAAAATCCGGTTAACATTGCCAAAATCTTGGGAAGTATGGCCAAGAAGTCCACACTGGCACTATGAGAATGGCCTCAGCTTTGTCCTCCTGGAGTTTTTGGAGGACCCTACCCATTAAAAAGAAAGGGGGGAAAATGCAGTTCATATTTCTTGACCAATCAAGAGTGAAGGCATCCCAAGCATGTGCTTGTTTACAAGGTTTAAAGGTCACAAACTTGGTCTGTTTCAGGAACACTAAAAATATTACAAATTCAGTGAATAATTCTTCATGGCAGGCATAGTCAAATGCTTTGCTCATGCCCATGAAACTGGCATAAATGGCACATTCTTACGGTTATACTGAAATATGAAGTGAGATTATATAGTCATTTCACAACCTAATTCACTCATATGCTAACTGGTGTTGAGCATTCAAGTATGCACTACACACATTTTAGGACATTCAGAATCACAGAAGTCAGTGCTATGGGCTGGTAATTACTCAACATGTATGTCTTTATCTGGACGGGCAAGGTTGCAGTTGCAGTCCATCATGGTTAAATATATATATGAAAACAATAACCTTTAAGGCCGCATGGTACATATCAGCACCTTTAGCTGTCATAGGTGTCCGCACTGTTTTCACTTCTGTGGGCGGAAGCAAGCAGCTTTCCAAGAGGGGAGCCACACCATAAAAGGACAATAAGTGGGCAATAAGTCTGCAGAGTAGTAATAAGGGAGGGGGTAGTAGATAAAGAAAACTGTAATAAAAAAAAATGTTTTATCAATTATCAATTTATTATTACATACATACAAAAGATACCAATTTATATATGAAGAGAGCAGAAGAGTGGAATAAAAATTTATAGAGTGGAATAAAAACAGTTGAGCATGCAAAATGAACAAGGACTCGTTTTACATGTAATAGCCAGACCATCCATAATCGAGGCCAACTCTTGACGTGCTTCCTGGACTTTGACTTCCGCTAAGGCCATATCCGGAGGGAGGGTGTAGTTCTGTAGTTGTTGCTCTAGCTCTTTCACCTTAAAAGATATTATGTGATGGTTAATTACAGATAAATTTTAATGAAGGTAAAATAAATTAAAGGTAGGCAGGTAGTATGTTTTTTAAATAAGAGAACTCTGTGAAAGCATTTGGAAAAAGAATTTGCTCATTTCTATAGATCTCTATCCATTTAACACATTTGCATTGCACAAGCAGGAAAGTTGACTGACCTGTTTCTCTAGAGCTTGCAGGTCTGCCCACTTTGCACACAAGTGGCTGTGAGTTATTTCCTTACTCAATCCAACCTGCCTCAACTTCGCCTGCAAAAAGTAAAATCAAATAGGTTATGAAAAAATTGGCTGAGGACCAGGTGATGTGAAAATGCCCCCATAGCTGCAGGACTGACTTTTGTTCACAAAGCTCTTGCATTATTTCCACTGGTAAACATGTGTGGAATATACAATCTGTAAGCCATGACTGGAAGAGTACTGCCTCCAGGGAGGATACCATTTCCATGCTCAGGATTTTATTCCTTCCCACCATAGTGGTGATGCAGGATGTATTCCAGTCTATGCAAGGAAAGCAGTCTATTACCATCTTGATACAGCATATCAAATTACAAATATAATCTTGCATACTCAGAAAAATAACAACATTGCATGGAGGAGGCAAGGAGTCTTTACACTGTACACATGCTCATGTGGGCTGGGCCCTCAAGCCATACACCCAGGAAGAGAGTTTGCCTGAATGCAACCAGCGAGGCACCCAGATCCACTGGGTCGCTCAATCCAGTTTCAAAACATATGCTGAAGGTTGTATCTCATTACATATATGTATCATATCCCAATTTTTTACCATACATAAATTTTAGTCTTAGATCATGAATTTTCGCAAACCACAATAGAATAAGAGTAACACACACCTCATAATGGGTGATGTCAGCAGCATAGTTGTTGCTCTTTTCTCTGCTGAACTGTTGCCTCTTCGCATCCCTGGACAGTTCTTCTTGTTGAAGCGTCCACGTTGCTTCAGCTTGTTGGGAAATCCTGAATAAAATAATAAATACAATACAGACAATAGACTGAATCCATTAGTGAGCTATAAATACATAAATAAATCATCAAAGTAAAAATATATAGATATATCCCAAATAATTCTTACTCAGAGTCTACTCCTTAAATATAGAAAATAAACCACACATCTACTTTTGGTTACCTCAATAAAGTTAATGATGACAAATAAATAGTTATTTATTTATAACTAATAAATAATAACAGTTTGAAAATGTATTATTAATGAAACCTACTAACTGTAAAAGTAAGATCAACAATTAAAACAAACAAATATTGGTCAAAGGAAACTATCCTTAATTTCTTTAAAAACAGCTCCATTAGACCTCAAGTATTTCTACAGAGACAAAGAGCCAATCACCAACCGTTTTATTTCCTCCAGTTTTCTGGATAACTGCTGACTCATTTCCAGCAGGCATGCTTTTCTTCCCTTTTCTTGTTCTAATTCATTGACAACCTGGAATCATGAAAATTGTAAATGATAACGAATTGTGTGGTAAATTTTTCCACCACTGTACATACCCAAGTCAGATTTTTGTGGTTCCTATCAAGAGCTCGTAGTCCACTCCTGAAGGAATTCTATATCAATATACATAAATAACCTTTCGCTTCTTGGGATTTCCTTTTCATTCTGTCCTCAAATATATATTTTTTCAATATGACTCGGTATATACCAAGACTATTTTTTCAACATGCTATTGATACAACAATATCTTTTACCATATGATTAGTTCCAATATTTTTCATGAACCCATTTTCCATTTGAAAGACCATTACTGCATTTAGATCCAACTCTATAACTTTTTTTTTTTTTTCTAGGAATAAAAGAAAGGTTTATCAGTTACCTTCATGTGATCCATTTCCAGCTGATTCAAGGCAAGCACTATATTGGTGCTTGTGGGTGACTGGACATCCAGCACCTGTGTTCAGAGAAAGAAAAGGAGGTCTAACTCGGGACCTGGACACTTCAAAAGAATAATAAGCCCAAAATAGCTTTCAATTTACTTAGAAATTCATCTCTTTTCTTTCGTTTTTAGGATATTCAAAGACCAAACTATGATATAAAGGTAACAAAATCTTAAATAGTAAACATCTTGTTCACCAGAAATCAATTGATATAAACCTCAGTTCCATATTATTAAAAAACAATATCACAGAAAAGAATCTAACATCTAAATAGGAGGTCTATCAACAATACAAGAAGTAATTTTGTTACTATAACTAAAATCAGCTGGATAACTGATCCCTTCTGCTACAATGACAGCATCACTGAAACCTACTATTTCACTTTTGTTGGTTTTGTATTTCTTATGACTGACTGACTGAATGAATGGCTAATGGACTAACTAAATAAATAAACGACTGACTGACTGACTGATTGCTTGATTACCTGTGCCGTGTTAGCCAAAGCAGTAACGGATTTCTGACTTTCCTCGGAGAGATCATCGGGCGAGAACTTCAGAGCATCCAACCAGTTTTTCTTCTGCATTGCTGGAAAATTTCAAAGGAAAGGACAATTAGAATAGGAAACTTCTCTTATCTCTGTATATTAAAAGATTCTGGTAATAATTACAATCCAATAAATAGTATGCACCAATCACAATAATAACAATAATGATAAAAACTAAAATAACAATCAATATCATAATGACAGCAATCATAATAATAACAGTAACAATAACAACTACAATAACAAAAACAATTTTTAAAATCTCCCATACACAGTACCTTCGGCATTATACTCAGCTGCCTTTTTAGTGTAGTCAGCCGCCAGAACTTTAGCATTGTCCTCTGAACGTTTGCTTGCTTTCATGAGTTGGTGCAAGATGTTGATGCTGCGTTCATTCTTCTCATACACAGGGATCTGTTCCTCTCCATAGACCTCATGAAGCCACTGCAAAACCTTTTGAGAACATTTGTATGAACAGACAGAACTTTCTTATTCCATTATCATTACTATAATGGAGACTGGTTATGCGAGTCTACAAAGAGGGAAAAAAAATTAGCACTACAGAAAAATGTTACCTTTGGGACAATAACTTTTGAAAAGATTACTGGACTGACCTTGCATTTGGCACTGAGGAATACTATTATACTGCACAAATCACACTCAACTTTGTTTGCAGAAGTACATAAATCTATTAGTCCTCAGAAGGAGCTATGGTTAAAGCTCTATTTGTTAGTTTGAGGAAAAATAACAAAATAACTTGAATACAATTAGTACAGCATTATTATTGTAACTCTTAACTATGGTAACACTCCTTATTATGATAAAACTAAAAGCAAAAATACAATAATCAACAATAATAAAAGTAAATATATGTAAAAATTATCAGAATCCAAATCATGACCAATAAAAATAATAAACAGAACAACACTACAGAAAAGCAACATTGTAAATGATGATAATAACACCATACACAAACAAAAAAAAAAAAAAAAACAAAAAGAACACACACCTCTCTGTGTTTTATGTCCATGCCTGTCAGTTCAACACTTGGAATATCTGAAAGAGAGATACACTATCATCAATAAAACATTGGAAGAAAATACCTCATCAAAATCAACCTAGAATGGATTTATCTTCCATGTGAAGAGCTTTCTCTGTGCCTGCCTGCCTGCCTTATTTCTTCCTTCCTGCTTGTCTGTTTGTTTGCCTGCCTGCATTCCCTATTCTTTCTTTCCTGCTTGTCTGCTTGCCTTATTCCTTACTTCCTGCTTGTCTGCCTGCCTGTCAATCTATGAGTCTGTTAGCCTTCCGGTCTTCATTCCTTCCTGCTTGCCTGCCTGCCTGTCAGTCTGATAATCTGTCTGCCTGCCTACTTCCCTTCTTTCTTCCTTCCTTCCTTCCTTCCGGCCTACCTGTTTGTCTGCCTGCCTCTCATTCTAACAGTCTGTTAGCCTGCCTGCCTGCCTGCAATCTAATCCTTGAATAATTACTGAAGGGAAATGGCAAAGACAAGTAAACAAAATTCCACAAGAACATGTCATGCTCAGAAAAGGACCAATCTAACAACTATTACATGTTCATATAAACCACTTACATGGTCTTCTCACAGATAGAAATAATTTCTTAGAAATAAAAGATAAATATATAAACAAAATAAACATTAAAGAAACATAACCATAAACCACACCTGTACATCAAGAACTAATACATTACCTTTATGTCCTCTTAGATGCGACATCAGATTCCTGCATACTTAATCATCTAGTGTTAAATCATTATTCATACATTAAGTATATATTCATCAGTTAGCAGTAACGCACTGCATGCATGAAGCATAATATTTTTAGAGTTAAGCTTTTGTTAATATTATCCTGTTGTAATACAGAATTCACCTGGAAAAGTAATGCAAACAAAGCAGGTAGTGGTATATACAGAATTTATTTTGCAAACATTAGTTTTGGTATACTTTGACTTTTCTTATACTGCAACATATTCATTTCCCTTGTGTTGCGACTAATGGGTTCTAAGCAAACAAAGTTACTGTATGAAATTTATTGTTTTGTTTTGTTTTGTTTTCTGTAGTGGAACAGACAATTTTAAAAACAAAATGGTTTCCCATAAGACTTTGTAGTAACACCAATAGTCTGATATACTCTTCTTTACAAAACTTAACTCCTTCAGATTCATGAAAATAGTTACAAAAACATCATAACGGTCCAAGAATAGCAAGTCTGCAATCATGAAATTTTGTCGGTTAAGAAACTGATTACAACCACAACTGATCTAAAATATATATACATCAGTGAATAACATTTCTAAGATAAAACAAACTAGACACATTTTCATTCTAAACACTGCCAAGTTGTATACAGTTCATATCTCCAAATATCTTGGCATCTAATGATTCCTTAACAAAAAGTTCTGGTTCTTTGGTGAGCTGCTGCAAAAGATATTCTAATGGTTTCTTCAAACAGGATCTCTCTTTCACACTAATCTCATAAAACCCAATCTTATGCTTGGAAGGGTATGTGATACTCTTGCTCTTCACTTTCCTTTCCTTGACATCAATCTTGTTTGCACACAAGACCACTGGGATGTCAGGCTGTACCCTGTTAATGTCTTTGTGCCAGCTGGGAACATTCTTATATGTTACTCGCGATGTGACATCAAAAAATATAATGGCAGCATCAGCCCCACTGTAATACCCATCCCGCAGTGGACCCAGCTTCTCCTGACCCGCAGTATCCCACAAAACGATAGTGCTCTCACCATGCGAAGTGTCTACAAGTATCTCACTTTTCTCTACCCCAAGTGTGGCAACATACTCTTTCAGAAACCCCTCGCAATTGAGCCTGGCCACATAACTGGATTTTCCTGTGCCCCCGTCCCCTACGATAACAATTTTATATCTCCCCGGCTTGGAGGTGCTGGTCGAATCAGGTAATTCAATAGCAGGCATTTCTTCTTTATCCTCTGTGGTGCTAGGCGATCGCTCTTCATTATCCATCTTAGGGTTATCACAGAGAAAGAAGGAACAGCAGCTCAAGATTTCTGGGCTGTAAGAAAAATGGAGAGAGCTCTGTCATCATGACACCAGACACTACATAATCTTTCCAGCACATAATTTCACATAAATACATTAATGTTTTTCAGAGAAACTAGCCTTTTTCTTTTTAAATACTTTGTTTTTTCTTCTTTTTTTTTTTACTTCATTTTAAATATCTGTGAAGAGTACATATTACCAATCCACTTACATCATATTTCACCACATGTACAGCGAGAACATCACTACATGCAGTGGTCTAATATCATCAGCCAAGTAAGACTTGCATACACCACACCATGCATTCAAGCCACTGTACAGATTACAAGAAAAACTTTTCCTCTAATTCATAACCTCCTTTTTTTTAAATTAAGTGTGCTTAAAAACTCACTTGAAAACTGAAGTATACCACTTTTAACAGCTCCAAAATGTAAACCACACACTTCCCACATTCATTTATAATACAGCTGAAGTTGATTCCCAAGAGTTAGTTTAAAAAGTTGCAATAATATAGCTAACTACCTTTTCATGCCTACAAATCACTATACAAATTACCTTAAATAGAAAAAAAGAAACAAAATATATGATAATCAAAAGGATAATGATATAACAGAGCAGACATGGAAATGAAGGAGAACTGTAGCCCATATTCCTACATCTTTATTGTGACATTTCACATACTTCATAAAATCATTCATCAAAGGCATAATCACACCATTTTTGAGCTTTGGTCTTGTCTTACTTTATCTAAGTTCTTTGTCCTGTGTTCAGCATATGCAATACAAATACTATAGCTCCAGTAATTGTCTTTCTCTTGGTAAAATATCTTAGATGTAAATATCTATATAAAAAATGTAGTACCATGGATAAGAGACATTACTCATGACACTCCTGCAAATCCACAACCATCACTGTATGAAACAAAAATCTTCCCAATCCGGAGGTTCTCCTCCAGACCCCACCTGATTGCCATATTTCTCTTTCAAAGTAACTGCTTCAAGACCCAATCAGCATGGATTTACTCTCTGTTCAACCTCAATCTCAATCTCAATCTCAATAGTAATGCACAGGCAGCTGATAAGCTCTGTTCAGCATTAGTCGCAACCTATTTTCTTTATTTCTAACATTTATTCTATGCTTGTGCAGATTATTTCATGTATAAGAGAGTATAGTTTTTCCCTGTCTTTTTGATAAGTGTCAATACATTTTCCTGTAAATGTATACCCATACATTTTGTCTTGCACAACTTTTTTATTACCAACTTGTGAAGGAAATACCACATATGAAAAGTCTCTTATTTTTTCCTCATTCTATCCATTACAGGCAAAGTTTACCTTATACCATACAACTGTGTGAAACTAAAACCATACAAAATTGTCAATAACAATGGTAGAAAAACAACAATGCACAAACTAGATTAACTGAAATATATAGTTGGTGCATTGTGGAAATTCATTGAACCCAATATTGTCGCGGAGAAGATATGAATAATATACACAGAATAAGTCACTATACTGTGACCAACATACCGGAGCACCTGATGCTGTCTATCCTAAACTATATCCTACTGTACATATGTGATCCAAGGGAGTAGTCCCCTATGGGAGTATATTGACCAATTCTTTTTATGTTTGATCTCTGCTGCACCAAATAGGAGAATGGCACATCTGATGCTATGCAAATGCGAATAAAAAGGCCAGCCGTGGGTAGCCAGCCAAGCACAAAAAATTATATCAGCACTCCTGTAGCCATGAACTTGGCACAGTTCACTTATGTAAAGACGAGATGAATCCCAACAAAAATGACCCATTTCAAACATAATAATGATGAAGACCTTAAGGGAATACAAAGAAAAACATCTGGTCCAGAAAGTTTACATCTGAAATTTGTGGAAGTTAAATCATGTACCTGCACACTGTCTTCTAGTTGTGTGATTTTAAGAAAGGTATTTGTCATGAGTCATGTAGTTTGCAAACTTTCTGATCTGGATTGGGGCTAAGAACTTAGGTATTGGAGGAGGGTTCTGCAGCATAATTTCTTTATATTTGTGTAGTAGAGTGCAAGAGGAATCCATTGATACCAATACTGTTTACGATATCATTGGACTACATTATATTCATTAAAGCTGGAATTTTGAGGAAGAAACGAAGGTGTGTCATTGTTAGCATCAAAATATATTCCAAAAACATTACTCAAGCAAAATAATAAGGATGCAGCCAGGTTGAAAACATAGGCTTTTTGTGAGTCCCATTAAACTGCCTGCATGCAAGTTCTTACAACTGTCTGTCTACCATTGCTTTTAAAAACATTGGTATAGTTTTAGTTCCATACAGCCGTCAGTTAGAAGTAAAATTTTACTTTTATTGGACGTAATAAACGAAAATAAGAAACTTTTCTTCTATGGTTTTACCTGATAATAACAAAGCTATGAGGTATGTGAGAGAAGGGCTGCGTGAAACTGAAAAAATTACCAAAACATTTTCAAAAATACGACAAATCCAATCTGTTGAAAATGAAAATCGTGACTATCATTCCACCTCTACGACACTAAAATCAAATTCTCTGAATGCTCGAGAGCAATTCACACTCACCGGATCAAACAATTCTTTTGCAATCGTCTCAGGAAAGAGAAGAAAAGTTTAGGAAAACTCAAACCCTCCGCGGGTGTTGTCGTTGTGGCGGTCGCTTGAACTAACGATCCGTGATTGACTGATTTCCTCGCCGTTGCTATAACGTATTCGCATTTTGCTATTACAAAAAAAAATAGATTCGGGGCATAGACTATATACGTCTTTGATTCGGGGTTAATGGTTATCAATTATCTTTTCTTCGGGATTCTATGAACTTGATACATATCCGTGAAAAAAAATCTTACTATTTGCAGATTGGCTATTTCCATAGACATCGGAATTTCGTTTACATATCATTGATTGGATTTTCGAGTTATGCAGCTGAATTTCATTTTAAAAAAAGGAATGTAATTATTTTGCTTGCTCTATATTACTTATATACTCGTTTTCGTGCCATGACCTATAGTATACGTTATTTCTTTTTATATTTAGTTCATTATTCTCTCCAATTGTGTATTAAGCTTCAACTGCAACAAATACATTTCGCTTTTACTAATGCATTTTCTACTCTTTTTAATTCCCTCTTGTATTATCAGTTGTATTTTCTATTATTGTTCTTAAGAGTTATAAAGCTAAAGACAAGTAAAGCGACTTAAAAGAGAAAAGTGAAAGTAAAAGACGTTTTCGTACTATTTTTAGAAAGGGAAAGGAAATCCATTGTACTTTGTTTTATGGCAGATCATAAATGTGCGTTTTTTGTTGATGTTTTTGCAAATGTATATCATTACGTCCCATTCTGTTTGTGCCTCTTTGCTGTGTTAGCACATGCGCAAATATACATACAAACATACACACTGGCAATATATATATATATATATATATATATATATAATATATATATATATATATATATACATATATATATATAAGTGTATAATATATATATATATATATATATATATATATATATATATATATGTGTATATTATATATATAATATTATATATATATATATATATATATATATATTATATATATACATATACATATATATATATATATATATTATAATATATATATATATATATATATTATTACATATATATATATATATATATATATACATATACATATATATAGTCAGAGAGCCCAGAGAGATTTAATCAGCATGTCGAGTACAAAAGGTTTGACACCTTGGTTGAACACCTAAGGGGCCATGGATCCTTAAACGGCCATTCTTAAGTGAACACGTTGTGGGTTTGGCCACTTAAGAACGACCTAATTAATGGTAATTACCACTTTTAATCAGCATGTTGAGTACATCAGTGAAACCTTTACAGAATATACTTTATGGCATGCTGATATCATATTGGTAATTCTTAAGTGTCGGTTTTGTGGAAAGAGCCACTTAAGAAGAGGTCAAAGGTAGTGACCCGCCCAAATTCCTCTTCCGGTATCTTTGAAATGACTGCTACTCCCTTACTATTTAGAGTACTGGGTCAAGATTGGACTTCAAATGTAGATATTAATGGGAGGAATAAGGATCACTTGTTTAATCATCCATTCTCGGGTACCGTTATTTAAAAAAAAAAAAAATGGGTACCCTTTTTACTCCCACTGGCTTTAAAGTTTATCAGCATGGTTGAGCACATCCATGAAACCTACACCAAAATGTTCCTCTACCAACATTATAAGAATCAATCATTCTTAAGTGTCAAAATTTTGGACAAATCCACTTAAGAACGACGGACAGGTCAAAGTGCACTCGTTGACCCAACCAAAGGTTTCAATCATCATGCGGAGTACATCAATAAAACTTGCAAGATATGTTCCCCGAGACATCCTGACAGCATCCAAGCCTTTCTCAAGTATCTCCATGCTGAATATGACAACTTAAGAACACTTTAAATCGGGCATAGTAGTGACCCCCAATTGTAAAGTATCATTTGACATGCCTGTGTGGCGGTAATAACCAATAACGAAATGGAAATAAACAAATGTTATTTAATACAAAAAATATATGAAAACACACTATAATGGTACATAAAAAAAAATGTAATAGATTTCATACTGAACTGTGGTACTAACGATGATTATTGACTGTACGCAGATAATCACAACTTAAAACTTGGATGGATTCATGGCAAAATATTAGTGCTCCATGTTAATTAATCAGTTATACATATGAAATGTTTTTTGCTGCTCACATGGTCTATTATGGCTTGATATGCCGTTTTGTATTTTTTTACTTATAATTACACGCTGGAAAAACTAGGGGTTAAATTGAGACGATGATGCATTTCTTCAACTGTCTGTTTCTCATCATCCGACAGCTTATTTTCTTCGTCCGAGGATGCCGCCTCCATCTTTTCCTCGTCTTTATCACCATCGTCATTCATTTCACCTTCGTCTGGGACAAGGGACTCGGGTGCTGAGGGCATATATATATATATATATATATATATATATATATATATATATATATATATATATATATATATATATATATATATATATATATATATTCGTGTGTGTGTGTGTCTGTATTTGTATATGTATGTATGCATCTACGTGTGTATATATTTCCTGTGGAATTCTGATGTTTTCATGTCCATCAAAAGGTCCCCTTTGGACAGCGTGATATTTCAAGATGTCTTGAAAATCTTGACCTATTTTTGACAAAACTTCTCGGTCAGATATAATTTCTGCAGCAAAATCTCAGACATTTTTATTTAGATAATACTTGACATAATGTTTATTTCTTCTTGAACACCAGACCCAGTTGTAGCTGCCGTCTCAGTTGCAGAGGTCAGTGTTCTCAACAATTGAGTAATTAAGGAAGTGCAGTTTGTTAGTTTACAGAGAATGTGCTCGAAAGTTGAGGTGTCGGGGAAGGAGTTGGGTCCCGCCCCCTTGCCTCCTTTTCCCTTCGCCTATGGCAACTTTGGTCAAGACTGGGAGTCCTGGTGAGTTGTAGATGTGAACATAAACGTTTTCTGTTTTATGCTAAGAGTGCACAGTGAGATTTTTCTGGGATGTTAATGACGTCAGTGTCTCAGACGTTGAAGCTGCGAATAGTCTGGGCAGTTTAGGCTTTCATTTGAGGCTGGGATGTATCAGACAGGCTAGATCATCCTCTGGAAGATAAACACGGTCTTCTTTTAAGTGTATCATGGCCATCCCGGAAATGTTTAAAGAGCGTTTATTTATTTATTTATATTATTATGTCCACCCTGAATTATTCATTTCAAACGTTATCTTCTTTTCAACAGCATATCTTATCATTACAAATTACTGTTCTAGAATGCACGAAGAATTTTGTTTGTTTGTCTGTTATTAATAACCTTTTACGCTTCGCAGAATGTTAATGATGTATTAATGTTAGAAAGAATTTTTCACACTCTTACGTGTTCCACGATGTGTGAATAAGTCACTTGAATTACTTTTAACATTTCATTGTGCTTCATCATCGTCATTTAGCACCAAACCAAGGTGAGGAGCTCAATTCGCCATCTCGCCCAACATCGCCCGCCCTGTCTTCCTCCGCGACTCCCGTTGACCTCGGTGAAGGGACGGACTCGTCGCGTCGTCGTGGTTGGTTGTTTACGCCAACAACAAGCTGGCTGTCAGCACTCGGTGATGAAGTCGGAAAGACGAGGGAATCCTGCTTGCGGTTCTCGACAAAAATGCGCCCAATTTTTTCCCCCAAACGAGGCGTCTACTGCTCGCGGCTCATGCTGCCGGCGTCCCCTGGATCGGCTCGCCAGTGGCACCTCCTCCCTGGCGCTCTTTCTCTGGCCCTCTGCACAACGGTTCCTATTTTCACGTGACAACAGCAATAGAATCGTATAGTGGGGTGTACTAACACTGATATCCTGTGGTACCGAAATTTCTATAGTCTGACCGCGGTAGGTCTCGTACATAGATCAAGAAGATCAGCACACACACACACACTGTATATACCTCGTTCCCCTTTCTTCGTATTTCCTCAGTCATGGACGGTTAGCTGAACTTCAGCACTCTCCACTGGAAAGCAAATTCGCTCACCTTAACCCAGAGGAAGGTTGACTGAGGACGTCATAAGCCACGGCCAGTTTTGCAATCGAAAACTGGGCTTTCGCTTTCTTCCCTTGCACAAAGTGAGAAAAACATTTGGCGACGAACGGTCATCTCCGTAAGTGTAATGGCGTTCGCTTGTGTTTACCTTCTTTCTCTGCGCGAAAGCTTCGTAGTACGTTTTATCTTTTATGTAATTTTTGTTTCTAAGAGAATCCTGCAGGGAAATCCTCCTACAACTAGGATTTCGGCAATGAAAGGCATCATCGTAAGTTTAGTTTTTATTCAAGATTGTTACATTTTTTTCTCATTATATTTTTGTATCGTTACATGTTGGTTAATTTCCTAATTCCTTCACTATTAGTTACTGCAGTAAAAACAAACGCAGAAGGGAAAGAGAGTGTAGCGCATCTGTAGCTAAAAAGAAGAGTAAGTTGGCGTTCCAGGGAAGCCGCTGGAACTGCTTGTTTAATGCATTTGTACGAATTAAACTGTAGTCAGGCATTGTGAA